TCTTTGCTGCAGTGTTGTCGAACAAATTCACCGTGCACGCGTCGGTGGTTCAACTGCAGTCACGTGGGCTTGGACTCCACCTAAGGAGCTGCTTTGCTGAGCGAGTGGTGCGGGAGCACAGGCACCACCGCCAATTGCATTTGCAAGGCCACCGCCGACCAGGAGCTTTGTTTCCTTTCCAGGCAGCCCCTCCTCACCTCTTTCCTGCATGGTTTGTGCAGGGAGTGACCAGCACACCCGGATCTGGTGTGCAGCCAATTTTCTCTTCACTGTCATTTTCCCTTAGGCTCAAGATCCCTGTGTCTCGTTTTCTGCCTGTGGACACTGATGCACCAAAATCCGGGACCCTCTTCCATGCTTTTCACTCCTTGGCATGATCTCCCGTAAATGCTACAAACACCATGGTAGCTGATGGCATTCGGTGGCCTTTTGTACTGACATTTCAGCCTCTCACAAACTAGAACTGGCCTTATCTGTTGCCCACAGTGCCTGAGGTTTTTCTTCTAGCTGGCTTTTTTCTTCCAGCTGCCTACCAGTGTGCAAAGGCAGAGATTTCTGAACAGCGTGCTTCCTCTTCTGCAGCAGAAGAATGGACTCGGGGAGAATCAAAAAACCACCACAGATACAGAACAATGCCTATTTTCTTATATTATCAATAGAGTAGCTTATTGATGCTTCTGACTAATTACATCCGGGCTTATCAAACAATAGCAATTATTTCCTGGTGAGGAAAAAAGAAGTCAAATTTTTATTCATGTTTTAGTATTTTCATTGATTCAAGACATAGAAAAATCCATACGCGCGCACACACACACCTCGTCAAATCTTCTCACAGTGAATTGAAGTGCAAACATGCTCTACCAGCTCAGCTGTGGTGTTTCACACCACCCACACCTCAGTGGCCCCTTTTTCTGTCTGTATTTGTAGTCTGGGCAGTGGGTTTGGTTTGCCTTCTTTTTTCTCTTCCTCTCCCTTTCATCCTTCAGCAAGAGAAAAAGGGAAAGAAACAGGATGAGGAGAATAAGAGCATGTAACAGAAGTTGTCCATTACAAATCCAACTGGAACAAAAATTTTCTCTTGCAGATCACTTCAAAACAGATGTTTCTTTCATAATCATGCAATCAGGAGGAAAACGCAGAAAAAGGAAGTGATCACATCCTCCCAAATGTTATGAGCTTTGTAGCATTGAAAAAGACACATTTTTCGTTTTGAAAGAATTGAAAAATGTGTCAAGCCATGCTAGCTATTAATCAACACATCCAGCCTGAACTGGGATTGAAGTGATAAGCAGCTCGATATCAAGTCTGTGCAGGTTACTTGGCAATAGTTTAATGATTATGTTGGATGTGATTAATGAAAAATACTATTAAGAATAATCATGTTGCACCACACCCTGAGCTGACTTCCACCCTGTCCTGCAAAGCCGCTCTGTGCGGCAGCCAAGGTCTTATCCAGGCCCCGCAGGCAGCAATACCCAGGCAGGGCCCACCAAGGACCTCAGAAAGAGCAGGAGCCTCTCCTCTTCCAGCAAAAGTTTGATTTTTCCTGTATTTTGTTTCTTTTCTGTGCGTGGCAGTGAGATGCAGCCCTCCCACAACTCACCAGGCAATGCTCTGTTGCTCAGCAACCCTGTACTTGCTGAGAAAGCTATTTTGCAGCAGTAAACCTAGGCTGAAGAGGAAAAGGAGGTGATGTGACACCTGAAACCCGACGCTTTGGTTGCCCAAGAGGCAAGGTCCCAATGAGCAGATGCAGGTCAATAGCAGCCAAGACTTTGGTGGCAATGTCAGCTGTGGACTGGCAGCACTGCACCTTCTGTTCCTCTGCATCCAGTCTGTTCTGAAGCATCTAGTGATGATTACCCAAAATTAATAAATTAATTCATTAAAAAGGTCTCCTGCTCTGTAAAGCCATTTCCAGTGTCCCGGTTAGATCCAGAGCACACAGCTGGCACAACATGCTTGGGGTGAGCCAGCCAGCAGCACTGATGGGATGGGGAGAGGGCAGCTGCAAGGCTCTGCTGGCATGAAACCCGCTCCTGGGGGCAGCCGGAGTTGCTCAGGGGAGGCGGGCAAGGGACTGGGGTGGAAAGAGGCAGTGGAAAACAGATGGATTGCATTAGCGGATTGTGTGGGTAAAGTGAAAGGTGTATTGCATCCCCTAAATACCTGGGAAAATCAGCCTGGTCTCCCCTTGTCTCCTGCAGAGCCAGCAGCAGGGGAGGGCAGGTCCTCTTCTGCCTTGACGAGCAGTTGGAGACCGCAGCCATACCCCTCCAAGCCCACAGCCATCGGGGTCTGCAGAGACCGGGTGTATTTGGGACCCAGAAGCTCCGCTGCCTGCAGCGCTGCAGCCAAGAGTGGGGCTGTGCTGCCGTGTGGACCCCTCATAGCACATGCAGAAAGGAGAGATCAGGACGCGGAGGCTAAGTAAACCCGTTTACCTCTGTTGGTAGAAACCACTCCAAAAGCTTTTCTGCACTTGGTCTGGCTTTGATAGGGCAGTGCATGCATTTTGGTCCATATTAGAAATTTTCAGAAATTATAACTCCTAGAAAACGAACTAGGCTTTTCTGTTAGGGCCACTGGGTCCATGCTCTCGTGTGGTTAGTGGTGTTGCATAGAAGTGTGTTACAAGGTCTGTGAAGGTCCCATTGGGTTGTTAGGGCCATCCCACCGGCAGGTCCAGCAGACCCTACTGTGATCAGTGCCCTGAAAATCCAACCTGCTACTCCCTCCTGGCACAAGCAGAAGATCTCCAAGGCTACTGCAGACCTGGCTGTCCGCCACCTGACCACAATACCTACGTGCTGTGTTACCAGAAGGAAAGGAAAACAAATACAGGGTTGACATTACCTGCCGAACCACCTCATGAAAAGAGAGGCTGCTTTCAGAAGCACAGCCCTTCTCACGGCATGCAGCAAGTCCTGGTTTCCCGGCTGCCATTTTAGGCTGGCTCGGAGGGATGTGTGCTCAGCTGTAAGCTTTGTTTTCAGTGCTGTGAGCATGACTGTTTCCTACACACATCATTCTCTGCTTGGGGACAGCCCAGCCTGAGCAAAAATGCTTGGGAGAACGGGGGGGCTCAGCCCCCGGGGGCAAGTGCAAATGCCAGCAGCAAGCTCGAGGTGGGTGTGACGGACCAGCTCCCACTCTTTGAATAAAAAGTTGCTTTTATAACACTTCAAGGTGATGCAGGTGTGATACGCTGTAAGAAAACACAATTACACATGCTGTTCCTAGGGAAAGTTAAACATTGCTTCACACGTGCCTAAACTACACAAAAGTGCAAAAACAACACAGCCTTCAAGGCATCATTTATAGAACAGAAACCCTGCTTTCCATGCAGTGTTTTTTCGTGCCAGACCACAGGGTTTGCTGTGGGAAAGGCCTGGTTACCAACCTCAGGGCTGGAGCCCTCCCCTTTCCACAGGCCACCATGGGGCAGTGCAGGCTGAGGCGCTGGGAGCCTGGGTCTCTGCTCTTAAAATTATGAGGGAAAATTGAAGGCCAAAGGCAGGCAATTAAATTATTAAAGAGACTGAAGGATGTGTATATTGTGTGTTATGTAATGAAGTTAAAGACAGATTGCTGGTGTTTAATTTTGGTACCATCCAGGGAATACCTGGGCAGGGAGCAAGGTGGCCATGGCCAGCATCGAGAGATACGGGCAAGAAATGTCGGGAAGGGCTGATTTCCGCAGAGGGGAAAGGAGCAATGTACCAGCAAAAGGAAATGCCAGGGTTAAACTTCTGGATGTGGGAAGTGGTTTATACTGGTGTTTAGCTCAGGTATGGCTCTTTCCACCAGCATATTTCAAAGAGCTTCATACTGGAGTATAAGGCCAAAAGTGGACATGGTGCAATGCAGAGCTGCGTGCTGAATGCACTCACTGGCGTAGCAGCACCGCCCAGCCCCTCTCGTTAGCAGTGCTGGCAGGGTTCATTAAATCCCCCTTCCCTCTCCGCAGGGCTCGTTATCCTCGTCTGTCTGTGCTGCGCCCTGTAGACAAACCCTAAATGTCACTACCTCCATTTCGCACATAGGGACGCACCAGGAGATGAAGCAACCTCCCACAAGGGTACAGAGTTGAGGAGAGATCCTGGATCTCCCAAGTGCCACAACTAATGAGCGACTGTGCTTGAAAGAGCTGCCTTGCGCTGTTAGGATCACCCTCCTCCAGCAGCCCCTCCGGAAAGTGAGGAGGCGATCGCAGAGCCCAGCATGCATCCCTGCAGCTCACGCATCCCTTAGTCCCAGCAGGCTGCGGTTAAATGCTGTAGCCGAAACCAGGACACCCCTCCAGCCATCCTTTATCATGGCTACAGTGCCCCTTTTTTTCCTTTAAAAAAAGTGCTAGGAAATGGCTTGCCCACATGTTGTGAGCAGCCCACAGCTGGAGGGAGGAGAAGCCTCCAAAGCCTCAGTCTGCTCCTCACTGCTCCCATGGTGAGATACGGCCTGGGAGAGCCTAAGTTTCAGGCTATCCTGCTTTCCATGGCATGAAACACTGTGGTGCAATTGCTTCTAAACAACGCTATTTTCAAGCAACAGAACGGTGATGGTTCCACCTGACAGTCTTTTCAGTGCCTCTGTGAGAAGGGGAAACGGAGCCAAGAAAGCATCCGAGAAGTCAAACCATCACCACTGCAAAGCTCCAGGAATAGAGCAACGCTAAGGGTCTGGCTTCTGGTAAAACGTGTGTTTCTGCCACGCTATTATTCCTTCCAAATCAGTTTTTACTGAGTGTCCCACACATGCCCTTTGGTCCAGCGACAGGATATCCTTCATTTGTCTGCACAAAGTGCAGATGAGCACTTCTTCGTGTTGTTTCCAAGTCGGTTGATGGGAGGGTCAGCAGGGCCTGAGGCAGCTGCACCAAGTAAAGGAAAGGTAACTATGGCAACCCAAGTTATCTGCATCCTCCATGTATTTCCTTCTCCCCACCCTACATCGTATCTTTCCCACCCAAACCTCAAGCCGACAGAGCCAGTGACCAGCTGGCAGGATGGGCACTGCGGCAGGGTCTCCCGCTTCCAGTGTGTCTTGCCGTGTTTCGGGGCTCAGCGCTGCAGGCTGAGGTCATCAAAAAGAGATCGAAAGCATAGAGAGGGGTAACTTGCAAAAGGCAGAGCTCTCCGCTACTGTAGATGGGGCGCTGGATATGTTGCCTTTGCTCCAGAGCTGCAGATTCATTGATGCTGCTCCTGGTTTTGACTCTGAGCTGTAACCCTTCCGCAGCAGCAACAGCTTCTCCGTCTGCGCCCCACATCAAACCCAGCTACAGTTTTGGCCGGACTTTCCTGGGACTCGATAAATGCAACGCCTGCATTGGGACATCCATTTGCAAGAAATTCTTTAAAGAAGAAATAAGGTCAGAAACTCAGCATAGTAATTTTTAAAGCATTCTGCGTAGTAACTTGCAAGTTGCCTGTTAGTATTTCCAAGTTCTTTGGTTAACGACAGTGGAAAGAGTAACTTAGCACCCGGTTGCCATTACAGCGCCTAGTATTTTAATTAATGTCTATAAGCTGCTGCTATGTCTCTTTTCTTTTAAAGCCCCGCAAACATGATCAGGCTTCAGCCCTGAATTATAATTTGAACGCAGGAGTGAAATGCACAACTTTTTACATAGAGGGTGGTTCCGAAACCATTCAAGGCAGTGATGGGGGAAAGGAAGAGGGAAGGAAGAAATCGGCTTGTTTAGGTGTACTGGAAGTATTTTATTATGAGCAACTGAGTAAAGGGAAAGGGCATTTAGCTTTGTACGCTCCCAACGGACCACGCTAACGACAAACCTATAAACGTGCTATATAATTTTGTACCAGGTACACCACCACGAATGTGCAGAACTTCACGTGCCTATTAACTAAGATCAAAAGCGATCTAAACCTGCCTGAGGCACAAGGGATTTTGCACATCGGGCTACCTACGCGCTCAAAACTAGACGGGCCTAAATTATTAGCATGCTTTTGGGAGGTTTCTGTGAGAACTTGAAGGCAGAGGCCAGAAATTGCATCTGCCTCAAAGTCAATGACACATATGCTGTCCAAGCGGTCGCCAGACTGATCCAATCACTTTTAGGCTGAAAAGCAGAGCATATCTGACGACAGCAGGGAAAATGTTGCCAGGGTATTTGAGGAGAAAGTTAAAGGCAGTGCTTGGCAGAGGAAGGGTTTATTGGGTCTGATATGATTTATAGAGCCATATGCACTTTCTTTTATAGATATAAAAGCCTGGGGGAGAAGAAATGATTATAGTAAAATTGTATTTTTAACGCTATAATGTAAGTAGTATAATATTGGACAAATCACCATTTTTGTCTTAAACTATCCTATAAAATGTAGCATAGTAAAACCATAATGGTTTGTCTGGGATGGACTTGTAATACTGAACATCCATCCTTCCCTTACTGCTGCTGGAAAAAGGCAGCTTGTGGCTTTGCTACGCCGGGGCATCCCTTGCCATGGGCACACCGGGGGTCCCAGCCCTCAGTGCTTTTCCCCATTTGCTTTCTGTCTCCCCGGCTCACGCCAAGGGCAATGCCAGGGCATGCAGTACGTAAGGTGCAGAGGGACTAAGAAGGGCCAGGCCAGGAGTGCTGGGTTTCTCCCAGCCCAGCCCAGGGTCCTGCTCCAAAAAGCAGGGCGGATTTGTAATCGGTGTGTTCGACTGGCTGACCCGGGCTGGTGTGGGTCTGCAGGGGCTGGGGGGGTGCTCGGGGTACGGCTGCCCTACATTTTAGTCTCTGCAGCAAGACGGCATGAGAGCTGGCTCCTGCCCTGTGCCCCAACCTGCTGCAGCGCCATTGCCACTTGCCTGTGCAGGGTTTTTAGGGACCTGCCACCAAGTAGAAAGCAGCTTCCATGCATAGGCTTGTCGCAGGTGCACTGTTTCGGTTACTCCCACTTAGGTGCTGGGGAGGTTGGGGCCGTGCAGCTTCCTTCACCCCTGCCAAAAATAGCAGTAGCCTTCTGCAGCAAGCAACTGCCTCTGGCTGGCTGGTGGCCAGCTGCATGCTGCACCAGAGCAGGGGAACGTGGTGCTATATGAGTGAAAGCGGAAGGCCCCCACGCTGTCTTTCCTCTGGGGGACAGCGGAAAAGGGGTGCAGAGGGTCGGAGGGGGGTCCAGGAGCACAAAAATGTGGGAGCACGATGCTTCTGTCCTGGAGAAGGTAGAGGGGCTTCCTAAACTAGAGACTTTTTTCTCCTCTGCAAGCCCATAGTCAGCTTCCCACAAGCAGTGCAGCACACAAATAAGTGGTAACATACAGTCCTGCTCTGAGCGCTTTGGAAAGGGTAACTTTAAAAAATGTTCTCCTGAGCAGTCAGTCAGCCTCAGGCTTTTCTTTCTTTCTCCCACTTGATTTCTTGAACAGCCGGGATTTTTTTGGCTAGTGGAAGGTTAAACAGGGGGCATTTCAGTGGCACTTCTGCGCTTTGATCCACCCCTGTGTACCTTGTCACATGTTCACCAAGGTGGATGGCACTTGGCTGTTTCTCTGTGTTAATCCTCATTAGAACATGCTTCATTAATTCTCCATCATTTCCGGGAGCTGTGACACGCATTCACACTCACCAGACTAACGAGTTAAGAAGATGTGGGGTTTGTTCCCAGAACGGCTGGTGACTCATCTTGTGCTCTAATGTTCTTTACTTCCCTTATCTTTGCCCAGCTTTATCCATCTGTAAATGAGAATACCAAAGTCTGCCTACCAACCGTCCTGAGAGTAGAGTGCAGCAAAAGTTTTTGTAAAATATTAGATTTTCAAAATACTGTGAAACTGAGCTGACCAAAAGTATTTGCAGACTTCTGCCAACGCTGGTAGTGAGCTTTGGCCAAAAATAATGGGAAGGAAGTCTGAAAAAGCTGGAATGCTTCAATTTGATGGGGTTTTTTTATGGGATTTCTTTATTTTGGGTTTTAAGACTGAATTTAATTTTTTAAAAAAGCAAAATTATTTTGGCTGAAAGAAAATACTTCATTTCATCCAGGAAAAAAGAAAAACAAGTTTGATTTTCTTCAACATCTAGTTCTGGGTTGATCTAAAATCTGTGCTCTGTGACTCAGTTATTCACACAGATCTTACTGAAAGTCCTAATTAAAGCACATTCAGGACCCTTAGCTCAAAGGCTTCATACGAGAGTGAATTATTGTTACAGCGCAACTTGATGATGAATCTTGAAAGTATCTAGCAAGTGTGCCAGGCCAGTGCTGTGCTGCCCAGAAATGATGCCAAATACAGAATTGCTGTGGCCCATGCTGGGTTCCCAGGCCCGCGTGGCTCTCCCCGGAGATCTCTGCGGAGGAAATTGCTCCATCCATGCTCAAATTAACACTCAGCCCTGGATTTCACACATCCATGTGCTGCTTGCATGCGGGAGGCAGCACTTTCCTGGTATCTGCCTGACGTGAGCTCCCCTGAACACACACACTTGAGCCAAATCACAAGGCACATTTGTGCTTAACTTAAAAAAAAAAAAAAAAAGAAAAAAAAAAAAAGAAAGAAAGAAAGAAAGAAAGAAAGAGAAACCCAGCCCACAGCCATCTCTTCCCTGTACGTGCCTGGCACGCTACGCCTGCTTTGCAGATTAGGTACTAGGAGGGGTCGTGATGCTCAGCAAATCACAATGAAGCATAGCAATTATTCTCTGCTCTTTAGTCCCAGCTCAAAACCAGACCAAAAAAAAAACCCCAAACAAACAAGGCATTTATTTTCATGTCAGATGCCCTAACTGTAGGGAAGCTTCAATTTCATACTGGGCAAAAGGCCCAAATGACTGAAATGCCCGAACCCCCCAACCTGCTCACACAAGGGTCTGGGCTCCTCTGCTTCTGGTCAGCCTGCATCTTCATGGCAAATTTTTTGAAGGAGGCACATGGCTCAAGCCAAAATCCAAAGCAGGGCAAGCACCGGTGTTTTGGGGAGATGGGCCTTCCCGAGACCCAGGTGTGCTGAGCTGCACGGGGTCCGTGGTGGGGAAGGGGAGCGAGGGGCTGCCTTCGAGAGGGGTCGTGGGCTGAGCCCAATTGGTCTCTGATCATGGAGGGCAGCTAGCGTGGCCGAGTCAGTTATTTGGCTGAAATCAGAGGAAATTAATCCCCCCAAAATTTCTCTGTGCTGATTTCCCAACTGGAAGTCGAAAAGAAAGATCAGCTTCAGCTTTCAGATATGTCATGTCTTTTCATCTAACTCCAGCTAGCTGATCCTGCAGAGATCAGCTCTTGCCTCTCCTGTTTCACTCCTGAGCTATCGGCTTTAACTTATGGTGAGATTAAATTAGAATGTGCTTTCTTACGCACTCGGGCACGGAGGCTGGGGCAGGAGGTTTGGGTGGCAGCGAATGCGTGACGTTGGCCAAACCAAAGGTCAGAGTTCGGCTGCTTTCCAAGGGCAGGTTGCAGACATACTTACGAAACAGGCACCGCGCTCCTCAGCTCCTGCATGTGCCACGCGTGTGTGGGCAGGGCTGAGGGGGCTGCCGAAACAAAAAAAAAAAAAAAAATAAAAATCATCACAGCCTAATTACCCAGCCCATATGCTCCCCTCCAGTGCCTGTGTAGGGGGAGCAAATCAGTGCGAGATCTCCACGGCTACAGGTGGTCCCACGCTCCCAGGGACCCCCGTGACCCCCATCAAACCCCAAACTCTGCCGCTTCCTGGGGAGCTCACTCATCCCGGCTGCTAAAATACAGCCAGTGACACTGGCGCCGGGGGGGGAGGAACCTGTCGACCCCAGTACTGAGTAAGACCACCACCCCAAAACAAAAGGTCATTTTGGTAGTCCCAAATACATTTATTGTCGGGAGGTCTTGTTCTGCAGGGTCCCTTAAAGTGTCGAGCACTCCTTTTCTGGGTACATTTCTCTGGGATTAAGGAAATTAAAAAACTCCAGGGATTCCCCCTGAACTGAGACCCTGCATCCCTCTCCCTTCCCTCCCTCTCTCTACGTGGCCCAAGGGACCCCACTGGGGCATTTTGTGCCCCCACCCCACATCACTGTTCATGACAAGGGACGGTTGAAGCGGGAAGCAAAGATGGACAATTTTTCCAAAGCGTGTTTCCTTGGCCGACGGCAGCGGCCCGCTCGCCTCACCCCGGCGCCTGGGGGGGCTGGGCCTTTGCAGCAGGAAGCCCCCAGGGCCAGCGTGCGGCGGAGCAACGGGGGTGGCTTTCTTCTCATTTAAAGCTGCCTCCCAGCTACCTGCTCAGCTACTCGGGCAACTACACTGACGATGCCAAGAGCTGGCGTCTGGTCGACATCACCCGGCTGACCTCCAAGTACCGGCACGACCGGGCCGACAAGCGCATCTGCACCTCCCTGCTGAAGACGAAGACCTGCAGCCTGGAGCGCGCCCTGCGCCGCACGCGCCGCTTCCAGAAGTGGCTGCGGGCCAAGCGCCTCACCCCTGACTTGGTCCAGGTCTGTGCCCCGCGGCCCTTGCACCCCACACCCGGCACAGGGAGTGGGGAGAGGGAGCCCCAGGGGGGTGCTGCATGGTTTGGGGAGGTGGGAAAGGTTTGAAGGAGACACGGCTGCAACCTGCTGGGTGGAGGGTGAGTTTGGGCGATGGCTGGCCCTCTCCCTCCTGTCCCGGCCAGTGGAGAGGTGGCAGCCCTGTGTCCCCCCAGCCGAGCCCACCCACCGCAGGGGAGAAGCAAAATGAGGCCCTGATGGGAAGAAAAGCAACATGGCCTGAGGCCAGCCCCCTGTCCCCTCCATAGGTAACGCCTCAGCACAGCCTGGCCAGGGCTGGGGCTTGGCCCCAGCAAGGAGGGCACCGGCTCCCGGCTCCTGTTGAAGGCAGCGGCTGAAGGCTTATGGAAAGCCATAGTGCCTGCTGGCTTCAGGCATGGGGTAACGTATGGCCGTACACACAAACATCACGACAGCTTGAGTGGGGATATTTCTGCCGGGCGGGTGTTCTGGTTTTCCATCATGTTTCAACGGGAAACATGCACAGGAGCTCAGAGCCAGAGGCCTCAATTCCTCATCCACCTGCCATCTATAGCAAATGACCTCAGGCATGAAGAATCACAGAATCACAGAATCGCAAGGGTTGGAAGGGACCTTGGGAGATCATCTAGTCCAACCCTCCTGCTAAAGCAAGTTCTCCTAGAGCATGTTACACAGGACTTCATCCAGGAGGGCTTTGAATATCTCCAGAGAAGGAGACTCCACAGCCCCCCTGGGCAGCCT